ATAAGATCTCCTCCCTGCAGTGTAGATTGCACTTATCCTTAATCATTCACCTGTTCACTTGTAACATTACCTTATTTTTTAATCCTGGAGAACTGTACAACTAACCTGCTTTTCTTTATGTTCACTTTTGTATACTATTGTAGAAGTTGAAAAGCAACCATCTAAGTCAGACTTCCTCAGTCTAATGCCCTCCATATATTTCAGACTACAAATTCCTTGCTTGCATATGCTTGGAAAGTTGGAGAAGAGTGTGGCATTTTTCCTATTGTATGATAAGCAACCATTTCTAAAGTACTTCCTTTTCTTTGCTTTCTATTTTTTCTTAGCTTAAATTTTTTCCGTGATGCCCCAGACTTTCGTATTTTGGCTTGTGGAGGGGATGGGACAGTTGGATGGATTCTGGACTGCATAGGTAAATTAGGATCTAGAGACACTTGATAAATGAATTTGCATTAGAAGCATGGGTGAAGTCTAGGATTGCTGCTAAGAGAAGGGGAGAAGGAGAGGCTGAGGCTCTTCTTTCTCACCAATACACATACCTCTGTCATATTTTTGTCAAATTTTTCATATTTGAAAAAAATGCAAAAGAAAATGTGAATTATGACACTCTAACAAGAAATTAGAGGCAGATACTTTGCCTCACTCACAGTTTGCAGCCTTATTATCATCCCCTTCTTCATAGCTGTTAAGGAGTTTCTGATAAGGAGCTAGAGATGTGCAGATTAAAAACAACAAGCCCAGGTTAGATAAAAACCTGGAAGAGTAATCCTATGCATTGACCTTCCTTGGTTGTACTAACTTGACATTTTATTTATATATTTATTTATTCAATTTGTATAACCACTCATCTCATATTTGTGGTTCTGGGTGGCTCACATAATTAAAACCAACCAAATAACACAACCAGTCAACAAAATACAAAAATCAAGGAAAAAACACAATAGCCCCCTTTAAAAACCAAATCAAAGATCCGATTAAAAACCAAAAATAATTGACTCAGGCTGCCACTATTGTGGTATAAATACATTTTTTTTTCTCCCAGTAAGCTCAAGGTTGAGTTGGATTTGGCTCAAATCTTAAAACCAGTCACAACTCATGCCACGCTCTCCAGATCTGTGAGGAGCGGAGAAGGTGGCAATCTACATGGCTTGTGGTCAATTATATTACCATCCATTCTTGACAATTTAATTTGTGGCATACCACTTATGCAGTAGCTTCTACTCCCTTCCCCTCCCAAGCTTTCCCCTGTTCTTTCTGTCTAATCATATGGAAAGAAGATGGACATGGCTGTACCTTCTGGCCACTACATCACACTTGGCTCAGGAAGGACATGTGGAAAGTAGCTTAGCTACTGTTTTGCTTTTGACCACTCACTGTAAGATTTATCCCCTTCTCTCAGAGACTCTAAAATTTTGAAATATGTCATACCATGGCAATCTTCATACCTATCTAGTACCAAAATGTACTCCCTTACTGTATAGATGGGGAGAAATCAGTAACCTTTCAGAACAGAGATGTGATGTATTGGTAGAATCCACTGAAGCTCCTGACTAGGTGACTCTAGTGAAGTTCTGCATGGATAAAAGTAATGCTAATTTCATTACATTAAACTGTCAGGGTTTTTAGATGCAAATTGAAAGTAAGGTTCATCATAATCATCAAGGACTCCACTATAGTAATACCCTGCTCCCCCTCCCCCAACCACTTCTTTTACCAATAGTGGACTCCCATCCAGTGCATATATTACATTCAAGCCATCTTCTAACCAACTTGCTTTGTGTACATCATATACTCCCCCTGGCTGTTGCTTTTTATTTTTAGTTGATGAACACAATTCAAGTGAATTCTATCCCTTTGGAAGTTATTAAGCTTTACTACTCCTGTTAGTTCTCCCCTGGCAGATGATGCAAAAGAAGGACATCACACCCAATTGCCTGTCTGCAGGCCTCTGATGGTTGCTTCTTTCTCTGCAGATAAGATGAACTTAGCAAAGCACCCTCCTGTGGCTATCCTGCCATTGGGAACAGGGAATGATCTTGCCCGCTGCCTCCGATGGGGAGGAGGTAAGTCTCTCAAGTCAGCCCAATGCTTCAGTTCATTCACCATGACCTCACACCATAACTTGCCAATGATTCCTCCTGCCAGTAGTCCCATGTGTTGTTGAAACCTGTCAGCTGCTTCTAATGCCACTTGCCATTTTCCATGCTCTGCCCCTGCTGTGAATATGGAGAAATTTCATGGAAAGGATTAAAGGGAAGTTAACTTCACATCACCATCCAGGTGACAGGTGGAGAAAATTAAACACGTTCCCACAATTGAACACCAAGGAGCCAGTCAGGAAGTTGGGTTTCCCTTCTCAGATGGGTATTTAAACAGAGGAGAGGACAAACACCCTTTTATTTTTATTTTCTGTGTTTCTCCTGTGATGCTGGCTAAATGCAAAGGAAGGGGAAAGTTCCAGCCTTGGCAGCTATAGGATGGGAACTAGTGAATCTGGACCAAAAGCTAGACCAGTGAAGCTGGTTGTGGTATTGGTCTGTTCCATTTCATGAATTGAGATATGGGCTGTGTGAACTTGTTCTGGTGTGTATATGTGTGTGGGATCCTGGAGTTTAAAGAACGTCTATTTCCTGCGTCAATAGGAACTGAGATCAACTTATTTAGGAGATATTTGTTCATTTTTCTGCATTTTCTTTTCCATTTGCAACTGTCTAATAAGTCTCAGATCTTCTATACAATAAAGATTTAAATTCTTAATGAACCGGTAGCACTGATTCTGGGAAAGAAATCTAGCCCTTGCGTACACTTTCAGTCAGGTCAAGCTACTGAAGGAAGAGGGTGGCCACTTACCTCCTTCCTTGAAAAGCAGTGGTAGAGAGGGTTTTTTAAGGGGCTAGTGCAGTGGTGAATTTTATGAGCCAGTTGAAAGCAGAGCTACACCGCAACACCTAGCATGCCAATCAGCTGTTTGGTAGCTAGCAGTGCAGTGTTGTGGCAGCAATGGAGCTGGCAGAGCTGGCAGTTATACTTTTATCAGCACACCACTGGGCTAGTAGCAGCATATCTAGTTGGCTGTCCCCAGGAATGGCTGGAAGAGTGCAACGAAGTTGTGAGACAAGAATTTGGAGACCCTGGTAGAAATGAGTGCCTAAACCACCATACCCCATGTGTTTGTATGTCCTATTAAAATGCCATTCGAAACTCTTCATGATAGCTCTTGATCTCCATGATGTGGATGCATTCCTTTTTAAAGTATATATGTGGGGAATCCCATAATATCCACCATGCAACCAGCAGCTGAATCCAATCAATAACTGTACTACCTTCATAGGTGCAGTTTGAACCTAGATTTAACATTCTTACTGGTCCTGGATTTTAAGTGGTCCCTGTTTAGAATGCACATTGTTTTGCTGGCCCAGAGGCTGATGCTGGAGTTTTTGCCACTAGTTAATTGAGAGTTGGGAGTGGTATACAAGGCCTCAGACTTCCATCCCAAATCCAGTTGTTGTTGGGGGGCTTATACCACATCAGGTTGATTTCTGCTTCCACTTCAGATCACCTGCCTTTCTTTTCTGGCTATATATTCCATAGAGCCAGTTCCTGCCTGACCTTCTCTTACACTGTTGCCCCATTAATGCTTGGCAAATTCCACCACTGACATTCTGTTCCTCATCACTGATCAATTTTTTTCTATTCCAAGGTTATGAAGGAGGCAACTTAATAAAAATACTTAAGGATATTGAGCACAGTACTGAGGTAATGCTGGACCGATGGCAAATTGATGTCATTCCCAATGACAAAGAGGAGAATGGAGATCCTGTCCCATACAGCATCATCAACAACTATTTCTCCATAGGAGTAGTAAGCAATCTGTATTTTATTCATATGGCTTTCCAAATATTTAGGACTACAATTCTATTATCTTTTTCCACAAGTCATGCTGAGAAATTTTAAGACTCAATTTTTTTTTTCTTCATTCTGTTCCCACTGCATTGAAATATCAAGGTCATTAATAAGAACTTCATTAATTATAGAGGGACTGGAGGTAAAAAATTGTTTTAGGAAGCAGAAGGAGGTATAATAGAAGAATCATTTCTCATAGTGTATGTATTTTAGAAATCCATGGCATGGCATTCTGCCTTTTGTTTATGACTATTTTTCACCAAAATTACCCCCCCCCAAAGTACAGAATCATAAAACAAATAATAAAACCATACAGAGTAATACAAGTTAAAGCCATTAAACCTAATGTAACGTCAGTGACAGCAATGCACCAAATGATACAGCAGGAGAGTTCACCCAAACCTCTAGATACTGGCTGGAGTATTCTGGGAGTTGAA